CTAATCTCTTTTCATAAATGCTTTTAATGATGCCAGCTGGCATATCTTCAGGCTCCATAGTCTGGTTGACTACGGCTACTTCTGGCTAATGATCGGGGTCAAGGATACTCTCAGCTTTAAGACCTTGAAGAATCTATTTGACTTTCAGACAAGTCGCCTCCTAGGATTAAACCTCAAAAAAGCATTTTTTTTATTTACATTCCTTACTCTGACTATCCTGAATAAAATGGATCTATTTTTCATCTTATGAACTTTCTACTTTATTTAGACAGTTTTTTGTAGGTGTTGATGAAGAATAGGGTACAGTAAGATGCCCTGGGTGAATATAAAGAAATCTCTTCACTTTCCCTAAGCACATCATCAGCTTTGCCTTTGTACCTTTGGATGAAAAGGGTTTAATAAGTAATTCTAGATTAGGTATACTCCTTGCAACTACTGTGTAGTGTTTACGCCTTTTGAGTCACTAAATAATGTTTGTAAATATCAGCCTACATTATAGAGACTCTGAACGAAACAAACCTTTCATTTAAATCCACAACCTCAGCACATCTAAAACAAATATTAAAAATACATAGTTCCACATTTCAAATGAAGCTCCGTTTTCATGTTTTTAAAATTAGAGGATCTAAGTTTCGTGAAACCAAAGCAAAACTAAAGGATGAAGCAAAATTTAAGGGAAAACATGTATTTAAAGGAAAAAAAGTCATTTAGTTTTGCCATGCTTATAAAGCCGATTATTAATCATTTTTTTGTGCTTGACAGTAGCCCCCTGGCTACTTACTTAATGTGGATAACATATGTGAAGAAGGGCTCACAGTAACCAAATATCTAAGCCTAATGCCAAAATAATTACAGCTTAATTTCCACGCTAATCAGCTAAACCTTCAGAAACAATATCCACTGGCTTATTTGCAATTCATATGCTGGCAAGAATGGACTGTTATGACTGGGGAGTACATCAAGCCAGGGATGGCTATACACCTAACTGTTAATGTACCCTGTCTTAGAAATACAAGGTTGGAGCCATTAGAGCTCAGTTTGATGCTAACTTTTGGTCCTCAATAGATACCAGGAGGTTATCTTGACTCTCAGCCCTGAGTTGTATTATTTGAGTACAGCTGGGGTGAATGTGGATCTCGTGCAAAACATTTCAAGTATCCAGTATGACAAGAAAATCCCTGTTTAGATCAATGCATTAGCATTGAGTCCTCTTGCATGCAGTCTAATTTGACCAAACCGTAGTGTAATACAGCCAAAGTCAGTGGATCATATGATACCAATCGTAATTTTTTTCATCTAAAGAAGTCCAGCTGGATGCTGCTTCTAAATGACTTTGCAGCAATCCCTCTTTCAAAATAAAAAAGTAAACCTCTTAGCGATACCGGCCTTTGATCCGCTGTCTTTATCAAACATCAGTGTTCCTGATAACTGGTTTAAAAAGAGGACAATAAGACTTGCGTCTTCATAGATACGTAGAAAAATGATGCTTAAAAAAGGCGGGATGCTTGTTTTTGTAATCCAGGTGATTCATCACTATCCTTTGTGCTCTCACACAAAACCTACAAAGATGGCACCTCATACATGAAGACCAGTAAATCCCAAGTAAACCCCACAAAAACCTCAGTTAGGCTGAAGCAAAAATAAAATCACAGAACATTCTGATCATCTTATTTTCATGAAGAGGTCAAACATGGAGTGAAAAATTACACCTTTCTCTTTTATACATTGGAAGCTTTAAATTGCACCAGATAAATAATGAAATTTGATGAATAACTCAGTAAATGGGAGCCCAGGAGTTAACTGCCCAGTCTTTGTAACTCTTAGCAGGAGACTGGCTCCATTTCTGTCCTCCATTGGGCACTCAGCCTAAACTTACAACACCAACCCACAACCTCTAACCTCCATCATCTTGCTGACCTTTGCCCCTTGATCTCTGTCCCATACATCACTGAAAAAAACACAGATATAACTCAAGTCCGATCAGTGTTTACTCCCCACATCCAAATACCATACAGTATATTGCTTCTGTATTTATCCTCTATTGTTTTATAGTTGAGAGAATAAGAGGTTTTTAAATGCAACATTTTAGTATCACTGTAAAAAGAAGAAAAAGGAAGAAAAAAAGTTTTTTTAAAATAAAAACAATACATTTGCTGTAAAGGTGGGAGGGTACAGTGTTGTAGCCGTCAAAAGTGCCACCGTCAGAGGCTACAGGACCATAAACAGTCTCACAGCAGCAAGTGGTTACATTGAATGAAAGAAATGACTGTGAAATCAAATCACTCGCTTTGCTGCCAAAACATAGATGATAATTCAAAGTGACGACAAACTAAGCTAAGAATTCTCAAATGCTTCAGCAGCAGGAATGTGTGTCGTAAATGTGACCACGTGTTTAGCAAGAAACAAAAGGTTAAAGCTGGACTTTTCCTCCACTGAACTCAAATCTGCTCACCTAAACAAATAAGTACACATTTTACAATAATGTTTTGCACAAAGCAGAGCACAAATTTTATTTTCAAGTCTCTATTTCCACTGAGCAATGAGGCAGACAACGTCTGAGTTAACCTAAAAGAAGTGTTGGTCACGCACTAAGAAGTCCCAGGGGACTGTTGGTTCCGACAAGGTCATAAGCTCTTGTACACACCTTTGTTAAACCTTATAAACACAAGTGTAAAGAATTATTAACGTGTACTGGTCATTAAAAATGTTAGTGATGAATTACTGAACACACTAAAGCAACTGGTTAATCAGTTAATACATAGATCTGGGCATGAAATTGTTTCCAAGACAGAAATAGGTTTGGCCCCATGATCAGACCCTTAATAGATGCTCGGCTCTTATGACACAGGCATGCTGCAGATGTGTGGAGTGATGTTTAAAACACCCAAAGGACTGAAGATCACAAATAAATCACATTGTATTGAGTATTAAATACTTTGTTCTGATTTATTTAAATGCTTTATGTTTGGTTTATGTTTGCTACATTCAAGTTTAATGGACATGATGTCAAAGCTGATTTTTTTCCTTGTGATTTATGTTAGATACAAGTATTTAGAAGCTGCTCCCTATGAGCTGATGAAAGGCAAGACACAGAGCTCACAGTAAAGTCCTGCAAGCACCCAAAGTGCAACAAGAAACCTGCTTGTTTTACAAGCTGGGTGAAAATGTACCCTATGGTTGTCTTGCAAGCTGCTGACACTTGTGCTTTGGCTGATCGAGATATATTTTATATTGTGAACTGCTGTGTGAGCCCTGTCACTTTGTAAAAAGCAATATGATGAGCGATGTGCTTGTTTAGTTTTTTCCAATTAGAATTAATATAAAACATGATAGCCATTCTTTTTTTTTTTCGTTTGGGACATAAAGCATTTTAAAATCAGAGTTTTTTTGTATAGATTAGAAATTTATGGTCAGAAGGAATTCAGGAAATGTTGTTGTACAAAGAGAATAAAGGCAGAAGAGTTAAAGCTCTTTAAAAAACGGTAGTTTGGAATTTATCTATGCATGAGCTTTGTTTCAAGGATAAAACATATGAGCTGCAATGGATCACTCTTGTTGTGCCTTCATTTAGTTTAGATTAGTTGATGCAGGCAGCTACTGTAAACCTAATTGGCTGTCGTAATCTAAGAGTGGTGACGAACAAAGCAGACTTTTAACATATTAAAACAACTTTAACCTGGAAATATGTTATCACAGTTCCTGCATACACTTGTTTATGGACCTTAAAAACATATCTACTCTTGCATTGTGTCTCTTTTTGCAAAAAAAGAAACAATTATTTACATAGAAGAGAAGCTGAGGAGGCAGTCCATCCATCCATCCATCCATCCATCCATCCATCCATCCATCCATCCATCCATCCATCCATCAAGGATATAAGCTAAATAAAACTGCACAGATAGATCTACTGCAGATTAGACATCTACTACTCATAAACCTGAAACAGAGCACCAAGTAAAAATCCTTAACTTTTGAAGCCTTTATTGTTTATCTAAATTTTCATCAGATATATCCCATTGTAAAAAGGGGATGTATCAGCATCATGTTTGTACTAGCATTAAGTAAAAAATCTAACTTCAATTTCAGTGAGTAATTACTAAATAAGTAAACCAAGAGAGGCAAACACTGAAGTTGTGATATCATCTACTTTAATCTTTAAACAGGACCCTGCTTTAGAAAATGCTGAACTTTCTATAGAGCTGTACGGGATGAGAAGCCGTATTTTTAATATGAGAAAGCCAACAAAGTAAGGCTGGGCAATCAGCGGTCTCCTGGGGCATTTTGAGTGGAGCAGCAGGTAGCAGGGGAGCTGTCCAAAGACATAACAGTTCTGATGGGAAGCCAACCACAAAGAAAAAAAGGTGGAGGAGAAATGGAAGAAAAGCCTAAAAAGCCCAAACAGTCGCCTTTATCCAAACAAATACAAACACAAAAGGTAATTAACCTCATAGTTGACTTCCCCTCGTGGTTTGGTATTTATCTCAGGTGTTTATTCAGCAAATGTTCCATTGAACACATGAGACTGTATACTGAAACCTCATTAGTCCATGTGGATACGGGAGGAATTCATTATGGCAAACAAGCATAAGCCCACAGTGTTATTGTTTTAATATTGACTGGAATCCTTTGTGCCACTCCCTTCTGGCAGAAAGTACCCAGCTGTGCTGTCAGTCTGCCATTCAGCCCCCTGCTTTCCTCTTGCAGTTCACATTCACTGTGAGAGATCCTAACCTCCGTCATTAACGTTCATATATATGATAATGGCTGCTTTCTTACTGTTACACTGCATGTAAAGTGTTACTTTTCATCCCCGGCCAAAAACTGAACCACAGAAAAGTCAATTAAACCCTTAAATAGCCATATCTTTGCAACTCCTTGGTGACATGGCTTTGTCAGGGGATGTACAGCATGGGTTGGCTCCAGCATTTAGTCAAGCCTGATGTCTAAGCAGCTTGGAGGGGAAAATGACTGGTACATTACTAAATGTAAGTAAAACATACCTGTGACGGGTCATTGGCTTGTTTGGTGAGTAGTGAGGGTTGAGTCCAGCTTTGTAGAGATTGTATCTATTTCCATAGAAAGGGTTTATATGGCCTCCATAGAAAGTTCCTTTGCTGCTCACTTCAGAGAGCATCACCCCAATGAAAAATATCTGTGCAGAAAGCAGGCGCAATTTGGTCCACATTGTTTTTAATTTAGAAAATAGTCTAATTGATTCAGAAGTCTCAAAAAAGCAGGTGCCTGGTGATAAAAATATGTTTAAAAAAGCGGCAGTTTTAGTTCCTTAAGGTATAAAATCATCCCCTGCCACAAGTGGAGTTCTTGTTTTCTTTAGTAGACCCTAAAGGAGACCAAACTGCTGTAGCATCTTGTCCCATGTGCATGTCCAGTTTTCCAAGTAATACAAAAAGGTCTCATCCCCCAGAACATGTAAATAGGAAACGTAGAGAGGATGAAGAGGGAAAGGAAAGGAAAAAAAACAAAAGGTGATCTACAGGAGGGGAGAGGAAGAGAAGGAGAAGAACGAAAGGAAGAATGGGATAAGGTAAAGACGTCCGTCTAAAAATCAGCCTCCATATACACACGTGCAAGAGTGTTTGGGACCTGCTGAAAAGGCTCGACCCTCCCAGCAATCTGCTCTCTGCACGAGTGAGGGTGTGTGTGTGTGAGTACGAGAAGCAGCATGCTGCTTTGCAGCCCCTGAAGGGGCAGGCAGACAGACAGCGGGTATTTGCATATCCCACCCCAAATCCAGCCTGGTCCCTCTGTGTGCTGAAGGAGCTGTGTCGCAGTATTAAGTGATTGTTTCAGTGTTTGTTTCACATGAAAAGATACAGGGAACTCCAGATGAAAAATATGTGATTTCTTGTTTAGTTACTCTTTACTGCTTATTGTGTTGTATTTCTTTCTTCTATCAAAGGCATAGTTTGCCTACCTTCTTTCTCTCAAGAGATTTTGCATCTCTGCCAAGTTTGTTGTCTTCATCTGCATCTCCTGCTGCTGTGCATGAGAGAAATATTCCAATGTATAACACTATGTTTGGCACTAGAACCCGCCAAAGCTGGACTTGATGGAGCTACTCATTGCTTTATTTTGGTTAGTAATTAAATATACCTACAATATTGTTGGTCAACATTCACACCTCTGTCCCCCTGCTTTCAATTTAGTGACTTATGTTTGATTTTAAATTTTTTGGTTCTTTGTTTTTGTTTCATTTTTTTACCAATCTGACAGTATTAAATCAGAATTATGAAAATAGTTTTTTGATAAAAATCATTTGCTGTGCAGCTTTGAGGGGAAACACTTGGAGGAATTGGCAGGCATCTAGTTTTTTTTTGTTTTTGTTTGCTAAGTTAAATGGCTGCTCTGAAACATCTTTCTCAACTTTGTGTAGACAACCTGGTCTATTTTCTCTTCATTTGCAGGACAGTGTAAAAGAGAAAATTGTTTCACTGTTTGCTAGACACACATCACACAAGTGCTTGATTTCCTGAATGTATGACTGACCAATGGCCACTGAAACGTAGACAGCTATAATTATGGCTGTGTACTACTGACACAGTGTGGATACAGGTTTTATAGCAGATAAAAGGTTAAAAAAAACACTGATCAAAAGCTTTGAGTAGAATGTTTAGATCCTTCCAAATTCCTTTCATGATATTCCAAAGTATGCAGCCCAGTGTGATATTTTTTCTTATTTTTTCCACTCATGCAAAAATGGTTGCAGTTAAAGACCTCCCAATAGTTCTTTTAGAATTAACAATCCTATAATTTCAGAGACTTTGACCTAAAGAAAGCTGAGAGAACATCGCTTTTCTTATGTTACAAACTTACCAGATTTAAGCATTTAAAAGATGTAGAAGAAGCATTTAAAAGATGAAGAAAAAAATTATTTAGAAAATAGATTTAAAACCTTTCAAAAAATACTAGAATGGGTACACTCTAATATTTTTTTCTATTCAGGCTAGAGTGGCTTCATTGTTTTTGTAGAGAAATTTGGAAAGCATTGCTGTCAATGGACCAATTCCAACCATTGCAAGTCAAAGGTAACTTGATGTAAACTGTTCAAATATAAGGCCATATTTGTGCATAGTGTCTAGAAAAATTAGAAATTGGAACTCGGAAGTCAAACTCTTATCTCTAACAGTTACCTTTAAAATGATTGTTCCATGTTAAACAGGCAACCATGGACCTTATGAATCAGTTTTTCTTGAGATATATATATAGTTCTTCAAGATGGTATGGAAAATTTGTGGGCAATGTCTGTTCAGAGCTGGCTCCTGCTTTTTGGTCAGCCAGATAGTCCTTCTGTGGGAGAGGAGCAGTGCGGTGTAGTGAGGGCTGACAGATGCAGCAAAGCAGTGTCTGTTTCAGCCAGCATAATGTTGTGTGTAAAAGCCAACTACCAGTCCACTAACAGGTAAACCTCAGCTGTAGCAAGCTTGCAATGTATGAGACTGTATTCAAGGGATGCAGTCCAAATAATATAAACAGAGAAGGGAAGTAACGAAGTACAAATACTTCGTTACTGTACTCAAGTAGATTTTTCTGATATTTTTACTTTACTTTACTACTTATTTTTATGGCGACTTTTTACTTCTACTCCTTACATTTTTACACAAATATCTGTACTTTCTACTCCTTACATTTAAAAAAATTGGCTCGTTACTTTAGTTTTGAATCATTTCAATGGAGTTACCGTTATTATTTTTCACGTCATCAATACCAAATTCAATCTAATTGGATGGGAATCTACGTTGCATTTGACGCACCACTACAAGATGAATCGACAGATTCGGCGGTATTCATTGGCGGCAAGTCATTGCAGCTTGGTGGCGGTGGCGTTAGCGTAGTAGCATGGACGACGAGATGATTGAAAATGAACACAACGGAGATCTAGTCCTATTGGCAAACATCCATTTAAAATGTAGGCAACGGCATGAAAAAATTGGTTTCTACTTTTACTTTTATACTTTAAGTAAATTTACAAGCCTGTACTTTGTTACTTTTACTTGAGTAAAGAAGTTTAATCAGTACTTCCACTTTTACCAGAGTATTTTTTAACACAAGTATCTGTACTTTTACTCAAGTACGGAAAGTGAGTACTTTTGCCATCTCTGAATATAAACTATTGCTAAATTAATCTTTAGCAATTATTGATATTAGCCCCCTTTGCACTGAAAGCCCTGGAATTTAAATATTCTGGATTTTTACTTAAATATCAAGAAAGATTAATAAGAATCATTTTCTCACATTACTCTTCATGACCCACAACAATCAGCCTAAGAAAAACTTCACTACACCTTCAATGCAGCAAGTGGTAATAATAAGAAGACACAAGTTGTTCTCCCTTTACCTTTAGTGCAGACCAGCTATAATTAAATCCCTGAGCTTAAAAAGTTTATTTTTTACTTTTTAATCATTCTGCATCTTGCCAGAGTTGCTTTTTGAAAGTCTAATTTTTTTAAGGGGGTTTTAAAGAACTTTAATTATTGATTGATTTTGGCTCTTCCCATTGGACAAAAGCTCTGTTGTTTTGCCTAAAGGAAGACAGCATTTCCCATGAGGAGCAGAGCATGGTGTGGTAAAATCCTAATCTCCCAGTCACCTCCAGTTGGATTAAACTACATCTCTGTTTCCAGTGGCAATGAAAGATGAATAACGATGAGGTAATGAATCTAATTGTGGTGAAACAATGTCATATGACGATGCTGAAAACAATAAACGTTTAACTTTGGTTTTGTACCTGACTCATCAGCGACTGTTGTGCTGACTTTAGAGTCTTGAAACAGATAAATATGTTATGTATATGTTATGTTTTATAATTTAATTGTAAAGAATTGCATAAATCCCAGAAGGAAGATGCCTCATTGTCCGAATATAAACCCTGCAAACCTTGCATGAATGTACAGTCGCTCAGGGAAATTTTCTTGCATCAACTTCCATCTTTATAATGAATGGTGAAAGGGGGCTGTGACTTATTCCATAAAGCAGTCAGCCCATTTGTTGTTTTGTGTGGCAGGGTTACTGCCACCCTCCTCAAAGTAACATAATGCTGGTGAAAGTGATACAGACCCCCTCGGGCCATGACAGAGGAGTCATTCAACAAGTTGTAAGCTGATGTATACTCACAAAAGTTATGAAAATATTTTATGAAGGTTCAAAAGTTACTCAGTGTTGGTTTGAAATAACCACTCAAAATAATGTTCACTGTTATGTTATTTAATAATAATAACTATGTACATTTCAGGAGTCTACAGCACAAACTGAAAACGCTTTTTTTTTTTTTTTTTTGTCAAAATACATACTATTACTGAAGTTGGTCCTTTTATCCACAAAACCATATATCTAGTAGCAGCTGCAGATAGTGGATTTGAGGATAAAAGGATCGCCACAAGCCAACAAACTGAATCCACTTGGTGATCTGTATTATACCCCCATCAGCTGTGGACCAGTTAACCGGCGCTTCCACTCCACAACCAGGCTCAGTAAGCAGCTTTCACCAGCCTGCCCCAAAGATAAGAGGTTCTGCAGCTTTGACACAGATTTGAAAGTTTTGAGGTGTACTGTCTGCAAATGTTTCTTTAAATACATCTTAAAACGTATTTTGTGACAAACGTAGGTATGAAAAACATCATTTATACACAGCTTCACTACTGCTACTGCTGGTGAAACAAAACACTGCAGCTGGACACAACCCCACCCCTAACAGCCCAGATAGTAGTGCGTCTCTAGAGGCACCAAAGCTCTAGGAAGGTAACGCCCTGGGAAAGTCAATTTGTCTGGGTAAATGTGTATGGAAACGCTACCTGGGCTTGCAAAAGCCCCGGGCTTTTGAGTGACAATAGAAAAGGGGCTATTGACACTGATAATCATTGATGTAGGTAAACTTATGTCTTTAACTGTATTTGATATGAACTGAATGAATAACAAAGAATCGAACTAAGCACTTAAGATGCACTCAGCATTCAAGCATATATTCAGGCAGTGCTTTGATTCTTCATGTCAGAAGGTTAGTTCATCAGTAAGAAAGAAAAGAAAGGAGTAATTTAAAATGATCCAAACTTTGGGCAGATCCTATATTGATAATAAGAATTGATCTTTATTGATCTCACATTGGAGTACGCCCAGGGTGCAGGCTGTGGGGATCAAACCAGGTACTTGCAACCTACTCAGAGCACAGGCGCACCGCTCTAACCACTAGGCCAACACTTCCAATATGTGCTCATTGATAACAGACAGTGATAAGAGACCATGTTTAGGTCTTTAGAAGCAGCAGAAACACAGAAAATGAACAGTGAGATTCCACAAAGACAACCACTGTGGCCGGAGTAATCTGCATCTGATAAATACAGGAGAAAATTGGACTATTTTCAATGTGGCCGAAGGAGCTTTTTCTGTGATGGAAACAGTCTCTTTCCATAATAGGACCTTAAGGATATGAAGTCATACAAGCGCAGGTGTGATAACGTAATGACATTTCACAGTGTTCGCCCTGACACACACAAAGAACACTTACTCCACCATTGTTGCGCCACAGTTTCCACCTTTTAGTTGCAGTGTTTGGCCTTTGTTTACTTCTTGGGGTGGATGGGGGAAGGGGTGTCAGTTTTGTGTGTCTTTCTAATTAGAAACACTAGGTGTCATTATTACTCATTGCTCCTTTGAAGCA